TATGAAAGCAATAAGAGGTAGTCTTTGATTTACGGTCATATTTGAGCCCAAAATTTCTGTTAGTAAGCCAGACAATTGTTGACTGAATTTTGTCCCATTATATGATCATTTGTGCCACAGTTGTCAAGTGAATCATTGCAGTTGTTAAGTCAGTAACCCAGCTGTTAAGTGAATCTGACTTCCCCATTGACTTTGCTTGTCAGAAGGTCATAAAAAGTGGTCACATGACCCCAGAACATTGCAACCGCCATAAATATGAGTCAGTTGACAAGCATCTGAATTTTGATCATATGACCATGGGGATACTGCAACGGTTGTAAGTGTGAAAAACAATCATAAGTGATTTTTTTCAGTGCCTTTGTAACTTAGAATGGTCACTAAAAGAACTGTTGTAAGTTGAGGACGACCTGTATGCAGAATCAGAGGGGCATTTCCTTATTTGCTTTTAGAAAAAAAAATCACTTAGTATTTTGCCATATCTTTTTTACCTTCCTGAGCCTAACTTCTTATAACAAGCCTTTCTATTTCCTAAACATTGTCTTGGTGAAAGCTTCAGAAGAAAGTGAAATATGTCAGCTTCAATAGCTGGTCAATAGAAAGGGATTAGTGTGAGCAGCTCCCCAAACCATGCTGCATTTGCACTTGATAATAAATAATAGAACTGTGTGAAGTTAACCTTCTCCTGCATAAAAATGCCCTGATAAATATAAATCCTGCCCTTTTGTCTACTAAATTTAAATCAGAGTATAACAAATCCTAGACAATCTCCTGTCCTGGTATGGAGCGGATCCAAACCTGTTTTGCTTTAGGAAGGATATAGTTTCATATGCTTTCAAACTGTGTCTTCATATAATTCCCTGATTGGAAAGTCGCTGTACAAAAAAATAATAATAGAATATTTACATTTTGCAATGATAATGTTAAAAAAAAGTTGAATCGGTAACTGTGCTTTAACCTCAGGCAGGTCATCTTTTTTTTCATAGGGAGAGAACCTGTTTGTGGCCCAGTAGTTTTTCAAATTTATCAAGCAATTATGAACATTCAGGATATTGTAATTACTCATGCTATGTCCTTCAGTTTTTCCCTCTGAAGAAGAGGTTTTCTACTTGGTTCTTATTCACAATAATGTCTTCATCTGTCTGTCTGTCTGTCTGCCTGCCTGTCTGTCTGTCTACCTCCCCTCCCCCACCTCTCTCTGTCCCTGTTGTAGCTTTTCTTCTCCTTCCAAGAGGGGTAAGGGGTATCTTACAAGTCCCCTGGTTGACTTCACTTCTCAATGCAGAAAGATCCCATTAATGTTGCTCCTTCATGACAATTTAATGGTAATATGAGCCACCATGAAGAATAGAGGAGTGTTCCTAGACAATTTCACCCAAAGGATAAGCAAAACAATGAGAAATTGGTGCCTTTTCTAATAAGAAAATAAGAAAGAAGAAAATAAAACAGGAAAAATCCAAAGATTCAATATTATACTTATGATGTAACTAATGTGAAGATGAATCAAGGCCTTACATCTATGAAAACAGGAGAAGATCCTAAGCTGAATGTTATCCTATTAATAGAAGCATAGATTCAGTTCTTTACCCCAATACTATTGTAAATCTATAATTATTCGTTTCATTCCTACCTACTTTGTCAGTTAGATTTATTTATCCATGAACCTGATGATTGTGCTGACTATTCAAACTCTCATCCAATTTTTAAACACTGATGCAAAAATATTTGTGGCATGTAGTTTACAAATGATTATCCATGCTGTTCAATCTGGTTTCATAAAGCTTTGCTAGAAGTCTGCTGAGTAGATCAGTAATATTCTGGATATTCATTAGGATACATGGAAGTCAGTGGCATTGATTTCATTAGATGCCAAAAGGGGCTTTGATACTATAGATTTGAAAAAAACTGAAGTTAAGTTTTGTTTTGATACATAAGTCTTCCTGTTTTAATAATTGGATCTATATGCGGTACTCTACTTCATCTTTACTTCTATTAATCTGTCTCAGGAAACTGATCAAGGGTTTATTATATCTGTTCTTATTTTTAATTTAATATTGGAACAACTGTCCTGTTTTATTTTTAAAAATGTGGATATTTCAAGTGTAAAAATGGCTGGAATGGAACACAACATGTTATTATATGCTGATGATATATTCTGTCTTCTTGATAATTATACAGATATATTGACATTTTTCAAAACTATGGTAATTTATACAACTATTTAATTCATTGAAGTAACTCCTATATTTCTTAAATGCTATAATGTTTTTTTGAAAACATATTAAACATGTTTCTGTTTTTATTTGCATTATTTAAATATTTGGGAGTAATTATTCTATGAACACTTTCTTCATCTGCAGATATACAGTATATTGTTAATTTGTACATTTATGATAATTGCTCTGGTGTCATAGACCAACAATACATCATTTTATTTAAAAAAATATCTTAAATTATGACACAGTGTGAAATTAATACCTGTTACCCACATTCTCTCCCAATTGTCCATGTCTATTTTATATCTGAAAGTAGTAGACCATCTTGTCATGCAATCGTTAACCTATTCTTCTTCTGTTTCAAATCATAACAAAGGTTTTTGCTAATGCATGTTCATCAGTTGTATATAATTCAATTTCAAATTCTGTTTTGTGTTTTGCAATTATTCATATTAAATCTTTTTTTAATTGAGCAAATGAAAACTGTTGAAAATTACGTCCTTCTGCCTTCCAATAAAATTTGTTAACCTCCTTCTGATTTTTCCAAAGCAATTTTACAAAAAGATCGTGGATTGCCAGTATGTGTTTCCTTTCTGCTTATGAACTGGTCCTTTGTCAGGGTATTGAAAATCAATATTATTTCATGCCAACAAAATTTCATGGTCTGTCTGAACATTAGTCTGAGTGATTTCCTACATATAATGTAATGTTTACTTGAAGGTTTCCACCCTCCCTTTTTTCTCTCCCCTCTTTTTTTTCTTTTTATACATCAAAGTAATAGATTTTTTTTTAAAAAAAACCTGGTTTTCAGGAAGATTTTTTAAACTTTAAGTTATAAATACCAGGCTTTATTTTCTCTTATTCACAAAGATAAAAAGAATTCTGTGAAACAAAAATGATACATATCTCTATCTATCTCTCTATCTCTTTATTTCTATCTATCTCTACCTCTCTATCTCTCTATATCTATATCTATATCCATTCATCTATCTATCTATCTATCTATCTATCTATCTATCTATCTATCTATCTATCTATCTATCTATCTAAAGGGTGGGCAAAGTTTTCTATCAGGTAATGATTAAGCCATTAACTCAATTGATAGGGTGAGTTCCACAGATCACGCAGTGCTGCGCCATCAACATTATTGAAAATGGGACTCCAAGACATAAAGAAAGTTTGCTTTGGCAGCATTTCTTGATGAACAGGGCAAAATCAGCCAGAAATTATCTTCTAGTGCTGCATTATAATTAACATGCATGAAGTGATCCTAACAATAAACTCATGCTTGAAGAGATGAGAAGTATCTTATCTAACATGTTTAGCTAATCCAGCATTTTCTTTAACGGAATGATAGCCAATAGCAGATTCTAGGAAATGAACTAGCCCAGGATAAGTGGAACACTGTCTCTTGGCTCTGTCCGTAATCCTGCCTGTTCCTCATAGTAACATGACTATCATATGCTACTATCATTTTTTCTTTCTTTCTAAGAAAAGGAATTCAGCCCACTGAGTCTCATTAAGATTTAATGAGTATAGCAGTTTCTTAAGTTGAATAAAGGGAGATTTGTGTCTGGCATTTCATTGCTCATCTCTGAACTTTCATTTTCCTCCTTTTATGACTTCTTTGTCTTCCCAAATATTTGTTGCATTTATGCAATGCTTTATAGATTTGCATTTTGCAAATTTTCCTGTCAAACAGGAAGCTTCTATTTCTATGCCTCTTGTGCAATAGAATGGTTTTCCCTTGGGGTTGGGAAGCTCATAAAGCCACCATATGTAACATAGTCAGCAAGAGAAAGAGTATGTTCTTTTTGTTTGGTTTGGTTATTATATTCAAATGTATAAAATCATGAACCTCCCTGGGTTAAAAAAAATGAGGTTATTTGCATGTGGATGAGTTTTGTAATGTGCACAGGAAGAGACTGTTCATGCATCAGTGATTGTTATTATGCTGAAAATATTCCTTGTCTTTACTGCAGATAATCTTTGGTAGAGTTGAGGTGGGAAGAACCTTAGTGTAAGTATGGTGAAGAATTTATGAATCTAATTTTTCTTTGCTAGACAAGTATATCTCCAGTATTTTTAAAGCTTGCAGACTGCTTCTATTAGTTTCCTTCCTTCTTTCTTTAAACTACAAAATATTAGCCTTGACAGCTTGCTAAGTGTTTATTGGTGTAATAATACGAATAGCAATCATTCTAATTACTATTAATAGTAGTAATATTAAGGGCAGTAATAGCAGTCAGTGCATGTATTATTTCTAGGACATTTTCAGATGTTGTTTGTGAAATGTTGTTTGTGAAAACAGATTTTACCTGGGTTATTAAGGAAGAGCAGGAAGAAAATAAAGAGCATTCGTGCCATGTTTTTCAGCGATTAGCTAGAAATGGAATCCTAGTGGAGGTGTAGCCCAATACATATTGCCTGACTGAAATTCTTATCAGCCTTAGCCAGCAAGGCCAGGGACAAACAATATGTGATGAATAATAGGTTTTAGAGGAAGCACATACAATCCTAGGATTTAGCAATAGCAATAGACTTAAACTTCATATTTCTTTACAGCTCTCTCTAAGTGGTTTACAGGGTCAGCATATTGCCCCCAACAATCTGGATCCTCATTTTACCAACCTTGTAGGAATGGAAGGCTGGGTCAACCTTGAGCCAGTCAGGATCAACTCCTGGCTGTGGGTAGAGTCAGCCTGCAAAAATGCATTCTAACCACTATGCCACCAAGGCTCTTTGGCATGGAGAGAATTGGGAAGAGACACAAGTCACTTCTCTTACCTGAAATTCTCTTCTGCCCTATACAATCACTTTCTTCTGAATGATTCCAAGATTTGCAAGGGAAATAATCTGCAAGCAAAAGGAAGAAATGGGTTAAAGAGGCAAAAGGGGAGAGGGATAACCTTTTGGCTTTCCAAAGGCCCATGAAGACCTGGCTCTTCCTCCAAGTATTGGGCTAGAATGGGAAGGGGGAATTGATCTAAAAGGATTTTGATTTGGTATTGGGGGAGGGGGGAAAAGGATACTTTTGGTTTGAATTAAGTTTGAAGGATTGTTGGGAGCCGCCTAGAATCATTGTATGAGATAGGTGACCATGTAACTCCTGAAGGTAAATAAATAAATGGAGAGCCAGGTTTTACTATAGCCAAACTCTAGACAGATCATAGAGGTGCCCATAAAGTTGGCAAAAAGGCAGGCCAAGAAGGTGAACCTTTTGTATATATTCGCAGGTAAACCATGAATTCCCTTCCAAAATACACTTCCACAATTGAGTTTGGATAATCCACAGATAGGCTTATCCATGAGTGTATGTAGTAGTACCAGTTTACTTCTTTAAACCATTTATTATTGTAGATAAGCTCTTTCGTGGATATGCTGACCCTCAAAGCTTTTTTAAAAATCAATATATTTAATATACAAAATGTGAAAACAAAGGGACTTCATTTGTTTTCACATATTGTTTCAATAAATGTTGTTTTCCAGAGCAGATTTTATTTTAACCTTTCACAATTGGTTTTTCCCAGGTACATTTTTCATGATTTTTTTGTTAAAAATTCAAAGGTCAGCTTATCTATGGATGGGCTTATTTGCAAGTATATATAGTAATTTATTTCTAAAACTTTGAATCCAGTAGGAGCAGTCCACTCCCATTTTGGGGTAAACAGTATCAATTCTTATGTCAAATCATGAATATTAACAAATATTGATATAAGTGCAATTGAACTTGTTTGGAGAAACAGAAAATACATTATCAAAGGAAAATGCTTCTTTTCTTTCTTTCTTTCTTTCTTTCTTTCTTCTATAAAAATTATGGTAGAGAAAGCACTAAAGCAAACATGTTACAGAATGACAGTGTGGATAAGGGAATGAGTGATAAGGAAAAATGAGAATATTTTAATAATATTTAATATGATAACAAAGATTAGAGGAATTGGTCTAATTTCCACAGAGCAGATAGACAAGTGAGAGGATTGATTACAGGAATATAAAATTACAGGAATATAATTTGTTTTGAGAATTTTAATTGTACCAATTTAGTATGAGATACTGGTAGAACACAAATATTTTTGTAGGTTGTATCACACTAAGTTTGTACACTTTTTTTTTTTACAAACATTCATATTGTAACTATGATTTGATTAATTTTTGGCATAATGCTGTGTAATAGCAGGCACTGTGATTTCTGAACATATCTTACCGTAATCTGTGAACCTGGGCTTGTGGCTTATTGAACAGATCATGGTTAATGCACATCATGTCTTAACACGATAAATGAAGCCAGCAATTGAGCTGAAGCCAGATATGGTTATACTTAAGTAAATCTACAAAAATCAATGGAACCTGAATTAGTTTCGACTGGATCTTCTAAACCTGTGTGTTTCTGTTTTCCAATTTGTATGTTTTCTTGCATTGTGCCATCAATTTCATGGAGAATGCAGGAATATTTTACACAGCAAACAAAGGCAGAATAATCATTTTTTTTACATTGGCTATATCCAATGAAATTAATGAAACTAACTGCATCTAACTATTTATGTTGAGTTCTGTTAGAGCATAAGTAGAGTGTCTGCCATGATTCAGTTTTAAAGGGGTGGAAGCCAAATGCAAATTGAAAAATAAGCAACCAAAATTTTCTCCAGTAGAACATTTTCAAAGACAGTGCTTCACCTGCCTCCTCTAAAGCATTGGAAAAAAAAATCCTTTATTCCATTATTTATTACTAAGGCATGGAAATATCAGCACCATAACTATAAATTTGAGAAGTATAAAGCTCAGTCAAAATTATTTTGTGCTAAATGTAAAAATGAAACAGCCATCAAAATACTCAGAAAAGTTTTCACAACGGTATGTTTTAGTGTTAGTTAATTAGTTAGTTAATTAGTTTTAACTATTGGTTAAAAGAAAATCTTCTTAGATTTTTTTAAAACTAGCATTTAGATAAGGGTGTCAAACTCGCAACATCATGTGATGTGTTGTGATGTATTGTGACTTTTTTCCCATTGCCGGCAATGGGGTGGGCTCAGTTTCGCCATGACGCAGCCGGCCCGCAGCTGGCAGTTTGACACCCCTGATTTAGATAATTAGGTTCCCAGACAAAATGTCTTAATATGTATTTTTTATCTTGCAAATGCAAATGGATTTTAGTTTAAGAACTGCATCAACTTTTTCTGTATAATTTATGTACGTGTAGTGTGTGTGAGAGAGAGACAGAATGAGGGAAGAGGGGAGAAGAAAAGTTAAAATATGTAAAAAGAAAAACAATTTTCAATGAATTTTGGAAACTCTTCACTGTAACAGAAGAGAAGCAGGAATATATGTGTGAAAGGTTATGACGAATGTCATATATGCATACAGGAGGAAATATTTTTAAAAACTGTCTTCGTAATCAAGTTACCTTATTCAAAAATGTAAAAGAAAATTACTAATGCATTGTTAAAGGTCTTGTTCAAATGACTGTGAAATTATCAGAATAGAAGAGTTTATTGCATTTCCAGACTATAGTAAAGATATCCATTGTGGAAGAGACTATGCTAAATGTTTCTTTCCGATAAATTGATGTATTTCATGTAGGGAGCTTATTACTTCACAATCACATAATGTGAGCCCTAGAACTGAGTCAATATTTCTAATAAAATTGCTGCTATAATGGCTGAGCTTATCATCATCACCTGTTGCTATTAAATTATTGCATTATAAGATACAGGTGATCTGTCATCCAATGCATGACAAAGATTTTCTTATTACTAATATATATATATATATATATATATATATATATATATCAGAAAAACTAGTTGAATCTAGGAAACAAATTATTGCTATTTCTCGTTGTTATGCTTGTAATTTGGGTTTTTGTTTTGGGGTTGTTTTTTTAGTTTGTCATTTTGAAGTTCCTAGATATATTAGACATCCCATAATTCCTGGGTTGTCTGGGAGCTATGGACCTTACATTCTATCCAGTATGCCTGGAATGCTTGAGGTTGTTGAAAGCAGCTCTAGCAGTTTTTTGATATACTTATGAGGATGTAGTAATGAAAAAAACCTTGCGATATGTCGCAACACATCAGGTGATGTGGCGAGTTTGACATCTATGCTATAGATCAAAACTCTTTTTCATCTGTTTTCCTTTTAAGTATATATTTAAAATCTGGAACACTATGGTGCAGTAAGAAAACATTAAAGGAATTTGAAACTTGGAGGCAAAACAATGAGGAAAATATGTCTAATGCAGGTAATCCTCAACATAACCACAACTGATCACCAAATTTCTGTTGCTAAATGAGACATTTGTTAAGTGAGTTTTGCCATTTTATGACATTTCTTGCCACAGTTGTTAAATGAACTATTGCTGTTAAATGAGACATTGCTGTTGTTAAGTGAGATGTCTGTTAAATGAGTTTTGCCATTTTATGACATTTCTTGCCACAGTTGTCAAATGAACCACTGCTGTTGTTAAGTTAATATCATGGTTGTTAAATGAATCTGGCTTCCCCATTGACTTTGTTTGTCAGAAGATTACAAAAGTTGATCATATGATCCCAGGACATAGCAACCATCATAAATATGAAGTAGTTGCCAAGCACCTGAATTTTGAGCACATGATCATGAGGATGCTGCAATGGTTGTAAGTATAAAAAGGGTCATAAGTCACTTTTTTCCAGTGCTGTTGTAACTTTGAACAGTCACTAAATAAACTGTTCTAAGTTGAGTACTACCTGCATACAACATTGCTTCTGGGAAAGGCTAACTAGAGTGACAGGGTGAAGCTTATATCTATGTGAGGGTGCAGGTTCGTTCTCCAAACTTGTGGATTGGTTTCTGAATGTTTCATTAGCAGGCTAGGTAACATCTTCAGCGGAGATTAGGGATGTCAGTGTTCTTCTGTTTATAAGGGCTTCATCTGTAAGTGTTTCGAGTGAGGGTCCATGATGGGTCTTGTGATGGGAACGTTACATCAGGTCAGGGTTATTGGGAGATGAGGTGCCGGTTGTGGGGGGACTCGTGTGGGTTGGTTGAGGGTCAGTGCTGTTTCTGGTTGGCTGTGTGGTTGATTTGGATTCTGAGGGGTTTGTAGGCTGGCTGCAGGTCAAGGTGTCTGTTGATGGAATTGCTTGTGGATGAACTCATGAGCATGGCAGTTGGTAGCATGGCCAAAGATTTTTATGTTGCTCCAACCAAACTGGTGCTGTTTGGTGTCGGTGTGGGTAGAGATTAAGGATTTGGGATTGTGGCGTTTGACTGCCAGCCGGTGTTCATGGATCCTGGTTTTTAATGTTACCTAGCCTGGTAATGAAACATTCAGAAACCAACCCATAAGCTCAGGGAATGAACCTTCACCCTAATTTTACACCCAAGCTACAGATATTCGCCACTATTGCAAACTTATATCTATGTGTTCAAAAAAGTTTATATTTCAAATATTAAAATTCCAGACATCAACATTCTTTCAGTGAACATGGAAAAGTTCTTTGCTTGGACATACTGAAAAAAATCAGTTCCACTTATAATTCTGTCCATTTTTTTGCACTACATTCAATACTATAATTAACAAAAGTCCAGGTTTTTCCTATAGTAGAGAAGGCAGCCATTGCAGAAACAAAACAAACCAATAAGGTTATACCTAATGAAGACCAAAAATAAATAAATAAATGTAAAATTAGGAAATAATTCTTTCACATCAGTTCCTAAGACTTGTATTGTTCTTAAGGCACTTTTGGTAAAAGTTCAAAATCAGTTGCTGTTCCTTAATAGAGAAAAAGAGGTGAGAGTTTTTATTACAAAAAAATTGGCTTTACAAATCTTCAATTTCTGTAGTTATTCCCCCCATACAATCCAATTTCTTTAATATGTTTATTTTTATTTATCTTATTTATTTCAGTAATTTATGTTGCCACCCATCTCATAGCATTGACTCTGGTGTTAGCTGCAATGGGAAAATTAAGAAGATGAGGGAATGTATGGCAACTCTAACAAAAAATGAGCAATTATTCATTATCTACACATTAGAGCCATCATTAAAAATGCACAACAAAAAATGTTATTCCTGCATCAACTCAGAAAGTTCAGATTGCCCAAAGAGCTGCTGACACAGTTCAACAAAGAAATTATTCTATAACTGTCTTATTTGGCACAGCAGCCAAATGGGACAGGTACAGACTTCAACAGATAGGACTGCAGAAAAAACAATTGCTACCAGCCTGTCTTCCAGGACCTTCCAGGACTTGTATACTGCAGGAGCCAGAAAGAGGGCTGAGAAAATATCTACAGACCCCTCATATCCTAGACATAAAATGTTTCAACTCTGGATACTGCTACAGGGCATTGCATGACAAAACAACTAGACAAACTAGCATCATTCTATGCTGAACATCTAATTCCCATAGCACTGTCTTATGTCTAAAAATATTTACCTATGTAGTAGGGATGTATTACTATTATCCTTCTACTATTATTATCTTATGTTTATATTACTTTGTTGTTTGCATCTACACTGAGAGCTTATGTACCAGAGACAAATTCTGTGTGAGTCCAATCAATAAAGAATTTATTGTATTGTATTGTATTGTATTCATTATAAGGATTATTTTAACCAGTACAAAACCAATAATGTTTATCATCTTTGGTTAAAGAAATTGTGTGTTTATTACAGCTTAGTATATAAAAGAAATTGTTTATAGCAAGGAAGAAAAAATATTTCCTGGGAGCATAATGCAACCAATTCACATAACCCAGCTGTATCTTACTATGTAAATTGCTGTTTATCCAAAACATCAGAGAAGCTGATCAATTTATACCTATTAGATAACATTTTGACCCAGTTAGAAAGCTGACTGAATTAAATTGAAGATGGGAACTCTTTGGGGATTTTCAGCCACTGCTTGATTTTTTTGCTATAGAACTTCAGCCTTCACTTCTATAATATCAAAATCTTACTTCTTTATTCCTGACAGTAGATAAATCTAATGAAGCTTAATAAGGATTCACCCACAGGCAGGTTTATAATGCCAGAAAAGCTCCTCTGAAATACAAATTGTGTTTCCTGATCACTGTGAGGGAATAGTGAATGCATTATCCTTAAAGTCTGATAGGCCTGCGTATCTTAAAACATGGTTCACAATTCACTGCTCCTTTGTCAGAAGATATGGTTGCAATTTCTTTGCAAACAAGATATATGACATGAAAAGAATTTGAGAAAAGCTAGAAGCCTTCAATCAAGCAACGTCATAGTCAGAAGAATGATTTCTTAGATGTTTCCCCCCCAAAAAATATCAAAGAATCCATGATGGAATTCAAACTAATGCAGTCCAAGAAATGGTTGCTGAATCTTCATCTTAAGATAGCCATTTAGTGACCATTTTAAGTTACAACATCATTGAAAAAAATGACTTGTGACCATTTTTCATATGACTGTTGCAGCATCCCCATGATCACATGATCAGAATTCAGACTCTTGACAACTGGCATGTATTTATGACAGCTCCAGTGTCCTAGGGTCATGTGATTAACTTTTGCGATCTTTTGATAAGCAAAGTCAATGGAGAAGCCCCTATTCATTTTACAACTGTGTTGCTCACTTAACAACTCTGGCAAGAAAGGTCATAAAATGGGGCAAAGCTTACTTACTATCTAATTTAGCAACAGAAATTTTGGGCTCAGTTGTGGTTGTAAGTGGAGGACAATCAGTAGCCTATATCTCTAGGTCAGACATGTCAAACACAAGGCCCGGGGGTCGGATGTGGCCCACAAAGTGGTTTCATGTGGCCCACAAAGCCATCCTGGAAACAGTGAGGGAACGGCCCCTGCTGCCTTGGCACTGGCCTAGGCCAGCCGGGAGCCAATGTACAATTTTGTGGTGGCCATCTTGGCACTTGCCCCGGTGGACCATGTCTTGGCACTTGCCCCAGTCCCACTCCCTTTTTCCAGAGACCCTCAGATCTGTCCCACTCCTACCCAGGCCGCTACAGGCACCCTTGACGTGAATGATGTAGAACTGACCACGCCCACCCAGTAGGCCACACCCATTCCATCCACACCCACCCAGTAGGCTGCACCCACTCTGGCCACACCCACCTGGGCCCCCAAGGGCAACCGCAATGCTGATGCGGCCCTCAGTGAAATTGAGTTTGACACCCCTGCTCTAGATCAGAGCTTTTCAACCAGTGGTATAGGTACCACCTGTAGTACATTGGCACCTGGCAGGTGGTATGCGACCATCCTATAAAAGTGGTAGTGGGGGAGGGGAATGAGCTGAACCAGTGGCAGCACTGCACAAACCTGAGCCAGACGGCTGGAGCTGCAGGCCTGTCAGGGCTCAGCGGAAGCATCAGGATCAATGTTTCTTAGGGGCTTTTTGTTTCAAGAAACTTTCTTAAAGTGTCTGTCAAGCCCTACGTGGCTTGCCATTCGGCAGCAGGGGGAACGGAGAGAGGGACCCACCACCGCCGTCCCAAGCAGCCAGCCAGCCAAGCAACAAGCCACGCACGCCGACCAAAACCGAGCCCCAATGTCCTACCTCCCTGCCAGCCACTGTAGGAGCCGCAGGAGCCGGCGCCGAGTGCTCCGCCAGCCAGCTGACCAGCGGAAACTGGCTGGCGACCAAGCAAACAACGCATGACCTTACCCCCTCGCCTGCCACCATAGGAGCTGCAGGGGCTGGTGCCGAACGCTCCGCCAGCCAGCTGAGCAGTGGGAACTGACTGGCGGCCAAACAAACGATGCATGACTTTACCCCCTTGCCGGCCACCGTAGGAGCTGCAGGGGCCAGCGCTGAATGCTCCACCAGCCAGCTGAGCAGTGGGGACTGGCTGGTGGCCAAACGAACGGCACATGGACTTACCTCTTGCCGGCCACCGCAGGAGCCACAGGGGCCGGCATTGTATGCTCCGCCGGCCAGCTGGAGAGTGCGGACTGGCCCGGCAACACCCAGCAACTCAGCGGAGGGGGAGAGCAGGAGGAGCTCTCCACTGAGGACTGCACAGAACGGCCATATTCACCAGTGCCGGAGGAGCCAGGACATGGGGCAGCGGCAGGCAGATATGCTATGGCCGATCGGGCGATGGACCTAGGGGGCGGGGTTTCATGGGAAGAGGGATTGGGTCACAAGGGAGGCTTTATAAGTGTGATTAGGCAGATGGTGGTTTGTGGGTGGAGGATGGGGTTTTGGGCGTGGTCTTATTATAAAGAGCACTGGGAGCAAGCCACTCCCAGTGCTGACTTTATTTGTTAGGCAGTGAATAAACTTCCTAACTTGCACTAAGTTCCTGCGTTCCTGGTTTCTTCATTCTGGACGACAAAGGACCTAGTTTGACAGTGTCATGTTCTGAACTAACACAATAGGCTTCTGATCAATGAAATGGAAGGATCACTTCTCTTAATTTGGGAACTGTACTTCTTTTCATGTAATATTAGCACTGCATTTGCCTTTTTGCAGCTCTGTCACATTGCTGATTTATAGTTCTTCTGTTCCATAATCTTTTTCACAACTACAGGGCATCTCCATCCTTTATCTATTCATCTGATTTTTCTTCTGAACTTTGAAAAAGTTTGCTTTGATCTCTATTAAATTTATTTATGTTGGGTTCAAACTATTTTGCTAAACTATCAAGATTGTTTTTTCCCCTTTATCTTCTGGAGCATTAGCTATCCTCCCTAATTTAGTGATATTTGCAGATTTGATTTTAATTGTTTTTAATTCAAATCACATAAAAATATTGAAGAGGTTAGGGCTCCTGATTAAAGACTGTAGCATCCCTTTCAATAACTCACTTCAATCTCATGACCAACCATGGTTGAGTCCCTTTGAATATGAGCAAGACAGGTTGGCATCCCTTTAACTGTTCTGTCATTTAGCCTAACTTAACTAACTTGCTAACCAGGATGTCCCAGGGTACTTTGTCAAATGCTTTGTTGAAATTGAGCTTTGGGACATCTACAGCATTCTCATAGTCTACTAATCAAAACACCCATTACAAATAAGACAACATTAAGCTGATATGGTTTTTACTAGGAAAATCTAGTTAAAAATGCTGACGTCTGATGATTACCACATTGTTTTCATGGTGCTTGTGAGCTGATCTCTTTACCATATGTTTTAGAATCTTCCCAAGTATTAATATCAAGTGACAGGTCTGTAGTTTCCTCTATCTACTTTCTCCCCCCCCCCATTTGTCTTGAAGTTACTTGATATTCCATCATTTGCCAAGATGTCTCAAAGATGATATAAAATACACACAAATACAAGATATGCATAATACATCAAGCCAGGCCATCAGCAAGTTTCTTCAGGAAACTATCATTTTCAACTTTCTGTGCTGCTTCTTCAACCCGGATTATTTGTTTATTAAATTATTATTATGTTAAATAATATTAAATTAGCATTAAATCATAAATTATTTATTTATAATTTATAAAATATTTATATATTCATTCATCAGCTGCCTGATGAAAAAAAAATAAGCCTCATTGGAGAAGACTGAAGCAAAACAGGAATTGAGTAATTCTGCATTTTCTTTGTTATCTTTCAGGGTTTTTTTTTCTGTGTTCTTGAGCAGCTGATATGTGGATGCTTTTTTCTTTTTGTTTTTCAACATGTCTCAAGAAATCTATTTGGTTGTTCAATAACCTCAACTCATTTTCAAGTTTTCGAACATCGTCTATACCAGTGTTTCTCAACCTTGACAATTTTAAGGCATGTGGACTTCAACTCCCAGAATTCCACAGCCAGCATACAGTTCTAGTCTCTCTAGTCCCCAGGTTAGTCACGGACTTGGTCTATGAGCTAGGACATTCTTTACTGGTGATGCTGTGAGTCTTCAGATGGGGACGATGCACAAATGATCCTTCTTTTAGATCCATAGATTTAGCTTGTGTTCATTCTCTACTAATACTGGAAAAGAACTGGACTGCATCCATAAAATTATAAATCGTAATCTATAGTGTGCATTGGAAGTGGAAAAAGTTAGAGATATTTCAGATTTCCATCCATATTCATTTTTCTGGGAATGAGTGTCAATTTTGTTATTGGTTTTTGGAAATAATTATGAGTGTGTGAATGTATTCCATTTTGGTAGTTTACCGCAAACGGGCACACAATATGCTTATCAAATGTTATGATTCCACTTTTATTTGAAAGGATAAAATGGACCATCCCCTCTTCCCCCCCCCCTTTTTTTTGAAAAAGTTATATTCCCAGATAGAGGATGCTTTAAAGGTTTAACTCTTTGAAACAGTATCTTCCCTGTATTCTTTTTTAGAACAATATATTTATCCCCTCACTTTTTAAACAAGATTCCACAGCTGAGACTAAAACTATCTAAAGCAGTGGTTCTCAACCTTTCTAATGCCGTGACCCTATAATACAGTTCCCCATGTTGTGGTGACCCCAAACCACTTATACATCACTGGGTGCCAGGGGTGTGCCCAAAGAAAAGGGGGAAAAAATGGCGGACAGCCTTGTTTGGCGACCCCCGTGAAATGGTCATTCGACCCCAAATGGGGTCCCGACCCACAGGTTGAGAACCACTGATCTAAAGCAATGCAGTATGCATTCACATGTACCTTATATAGTTTCCTGCAATCATAAAAATAGCCTCAAATAATGTATATATGTTTGTGTAGATTTCATATAGTTAAAATGCAATCAATTAAAACAGCTTGGTAGAATGAAAAGTCTTTAAAGACATGTTAAGTTTTCACGCAAGTTGAGTATTTAGAGGAGATGGGATTCGGGGTTAAATTTCATGCTTAAAAATGGTGTTTTTTGTAGTTTTAAAAAATTGAGCCCTTTTGGTGTCTGGGGAAGGAAATTCCTGATTCCGGGGTCAGGGATTTTTGAGCTCCAGAGGTGAAAATTTTTTTTTGACCGAAATGTAAAAATGGACGTCAGAATGGGATTCGGGGTTAAATTTCATGCTTAAAAATGGTGCTTTTTGTAGTTTTTAAAAATTGAGCCCTTTTGGTTTCTGGAGAAGGAAATTCCTGATACCGGATCAGGGATTTTTGACCTCCGGAGGTGAAAAATTTTTTTTGAACCAAATGTAAAAATGGACGTCAGAATGGGATTCGGGGTTAAATTTCATGCTTAAAAATGGTGCTTTTTGTAGTTTTTTAAAAATTGAGCCCTTTTGGTGTCTGGGGAAGGAAATTCCTGATTCCGGGGTCAGGGATTTTTGAGCTCCGGAGATGAAAATTTTTTTTTGACCGAAATGTAAAAACGGACGTCAGAATGGGATTCAGGGTTAAATTTCATGCTTAAAATGGTGCTTTTTGTAGTTTTTAAAAATTGAGCCCTTTTGGTTTCTGGTGAAGGAAATTCCTGATACCAGGTCAGGGATTTTTGACCTCCGGAGGTGAAAAATTTTTTTTGAACCAAATGTAAAAACGGACGTCAGAATGGGATTCGGGGTTAAATTTCATGCTTAAAAATGGTGCTTTTTGTAGTTTTTAAAAATTGTGCCCTTTTGGTCTGTGGGGAAGGAAATTCCTGATGCCGGGGTAAGGGATTTTTGAGCTCCGGAGGTGAAAATTGTTTTTTTTGACCCAAATGTAAAAACGGACGTCAGAATGGGATTCGGGGTTAAATTTCATGCTTAAAAATGATGCTTTTTGTAGGTTTTTAAAAATTGAGCCCCGTCTTCCAGTGGATCTGCCCCCGCGATGGAGGCTACTTTGTAGCCGTCCTCCTGGGTAAGTGTTTGAATCGCTATGAACAGCAGACATCAGCTGTTCAGCGGTTCAAAATCCCCCTCCCGGGCAAAGGAAGGGGGAAGAGGATTGTTTGAATAGTGGTAGAGCCTCTTATGCACCCCCAGGGCTTTTTTTGGGGGGTGAAAAGAGTGCTCCCATGGAGTTCAGACTGCCTCCACTTCCCAGCTGCTTTTGTCCCTAGGGACAAAACAAGCCGCTGCAACCACCTCCGCGATTAAAGTGAACTGGTGAGTTTTTCTTAGAAGCGGACAGAGTTGAGTAGAGGATTTCGTTTTTGCTTTTTTTGATTTTATTTGGATTTTAAGTTTAAAGATTTATCTTTATACTCCCTCTTTTTATTTTTATTTTTCCTTTGTTGAAAGGGAAAGTAAAATGGCGATCAGCAGGCTTTTCGGTGTTTTTTTTTCCCTTTCTTTTTTTTCTTAATGAGTGGAACGGAATGTGGACTTGATTATCTATAATGATTTTTTGATGTTGGGTTTGGATTTTAGAAGGATTATTATTTTTGTTTAACTTTTTTGTTTTGTTTTTTGTACTTTTAAAAAAATGGAATGGATTTTTTCTATTTAATCATTTTTTTCTCTTTCCCTTTTCTTTTTTAAACTTTTTTCTTTTTATTATAATGATCTCCTTTTGAAGGATTTTTTGATTTTTTGGAGTTAATCTCTCTTTTTCCTTTGGTTAATTTTTGTAATTTTTAAGAAGGAGTAAAGATTTTTTTAAGATGGCTCCAAAGCGTCCAGTAATTCCTACAGCTCCTAAGGTGGTTTCTTCTTCGGTGTTATCATCAGCGCAACAACCTAAATCAATAGCTTCACCCTCTTCTTTGGCACAGTCAACAATGGTGAAGGATTTGCAAGACATGATGGGAAATGTTATATCTCAAATTAGGGGAGAAATGAAAGAGATTTTAGAGGAAAATAATAAGATTTTGAGGCAAGAGATAGTTCTGGCTTTAAAAGGAGTTGCCTTTGTTCTTGAAAAGCTGAACTCTCGTGTAGAAGAGGTACCAGAAAAAGTGGAACTGATGGAGGGAAAATTTGAAAGCATGGAAAAAGATGGAAAATTTTCAAGATGAGATTCTTATGCTTCAATATAGACAAATGGAATATGCTTTAAGAATTA